GTGAGGACAGAGCTGATGGAGAAGATGACAGGAGGTGAGAACAGAGCTGATGAGAAGATGACAGGAAGTGAGGACAGAGCTGATGGAGAAGATGACAGGAGGTGAGGACAGCTGATGGAGAAGATGACAGGAGGTGAGGACAGAGCTGATGGAGAAGATGACAGGAGGTGAGATCAGAGCTGATGGAGAAGCTGAGGAAGTGAGGACAGTGGAGAAGCTGAGGAGGTATGGACAGTGCTGACAGAGATACTTAGAGGAGGTGAAAACAGAGAAGATGATGTGATGAGAACAGAACAGATGGAGAACCTGGGAGGAGGTGAAGACAGAGCAGATGAAGAAATTTAGAAATGACAGTAGAGCAGATGGAGAAGCAGTCCTGTGGCTGGAGGGAGCCTTGCTGGATTGAGGGTGACTTCCCCTTAATGGTACATCACAGGGTTGTATGCCTGGCCTTCACCTCTGGAGGAGGGTACTTACTCTATGTCCTTTGTCCATATCCTGTGTCTGAGTCTCCACCACTTCCTGGCAGTACTCTGGAGGCCCATGTCCACCTCCAGCCCTCCACAATGGCCCAGGTGAGTGACATCCTCATCGTTGATGGTCAGAGCTTTGTTGTCTAGAATAGTCAGTAATGAGATAGGATACTCCTCAGCTGGACTGGGAAGCCTCCTGAAAGCTGCAGTGGGAGCCTTCCCTGCCAAGCGAGAGCACTGGACAATGATTGCCTGCTGAGAGCTGGCCTGCGGACAGAAACCAGCGTGCAGAGTTCTTGAGAAAGTAAATTGGCCTTGAAGAAAACACAAACTGCAACCCTGTGTGCTAGTCTGCAGAGCTGTCTTCCACTAAGGGAATAGGCATAACGTTTTGACTAAATGTGGAAACAACACACACAGCCATGGTTCTTAGTTCGGACACTTCATTAGAGCAGTTAAATCTGAACGTAAACAACATAAATCCAACATAAAAAATGTTGCTGCATCTCCCGCACAAGACAATGCAAGTCACTTTGCAATTGTAAGAACAACAGTAAAAGAATGACAGAGAGCTGAAAGCAGTGTGTGAAGTCATAAGCTTGCTGAGAGTGTAGACCAAGTCTGTGGAAGTGTGGCATCCTATAATCAGGCCACCTTGCTGTATAAGTATCACCTCACTCTGAGTGTGATTCCATCAGTACAGTGGGAGAGGAGGTGTGAGAAATGGAATTCTTAAGGTTGCTTAATAAACAGAAGAGACTGTTGTAAAAACGTGACCATGTGATGAAGGGAAAGTGTGAAAATGACAGTAATTAAGATCACTGAGGGAGCTCTGGTGGCTTAGTTGTGAAGAGTTGTGCTGCCAACCCAAAGGCAGGCAGTTCAAATCCGCTAGCTGCTCCTTTTTTTTTTTTTAAATTTTTTTATTATTTTTGTGTGAGTGTACCGTCAAATCAGATCTGACTGGTACAGGAGGAGATTGTCCCTCCTTCCCCGGCAGAGCATCTGGTGGATTCGAACCCTGAGCCTCTGGGATTGTAGTTGCAGCTCCTTGCCACTAGGCCACCAGAGCTCCCCCCACTAGCTGCTCCTTAAGAGAAAGACAGTCATATTCTTGGAATTTAAATCCTCTGAAAGCCTGCTAGAGGGTCAGCTGAATTATTTTCAAGTTGAAAGCAGTGAGTTGTGTGGTGATGTGGTCTGCTGGAATGAGGGATGGCAGTTCAGTGGACCTACTGTTCTGCCCTGCACAGGCTCATGTTCTCATAGCTGGAGTGCCTGTATACCTTAAAACACAACTGTATCTGATTTCTAAGAGAGGCTGTCTTAACACAGAGGAATAGGAACCCATAAAAGATTTTTTGCTTGCTCTTTTCTAGAAACAAGCAGTTTGGTTTATTCTAAATAACTTTTACAGAGTAAATCCTTTAAAATTGAGACCTGGGTAAGGTGGAACTCCATCAGAGAAGGAAAAGGCAAATACTCTTCACTGAAAGACGCGGAGAAGAATGTCCAAGGCCAGAAAGCTTGTGTAGACCCAACAGCAAGGCTGCCCTATGTATGGTTATGGTCGTTAGGGACGCCAGCACCTCTAGGGGCAGGCTGGATCCTTAGAGAATCCCTGAGGGCAAGGTTTCTGTACACTCAGGCCTCTTATTAATGTCTGCTTCACAGCCATAACACATCTAAATTAAGGACTCGATATTGGTACATGTCCACAGTTTAAAAGATTCAGTAGCATTAAGATGTTGATTTTCCTGGAAGTGTGGTTCAAAATTGGGAAGGATGTACACCAGGGATGTGTCCTGTCTCCATACCTTTTCAGCCTATGCAGAACAGATTATCTGGGAGGCTAGGCTGTATGAGGAGAAGTGTGGCATCAAGATTGGAGGAAGATTCATCAACAATCTGTTATGCAGATGGTACAACCCTGCTTACTCAAACTGAGAAGGACCTGAAGCACCTGCTGCAGAAGATCAAAGACTGCAGCCTTCAATATGGATTGAGGCTCAATATCAAGAAGACAAACATTTTCACTACTTGGACAATTGGCAGTATTAGGATGGATGGTGAAGAGATTGAGATAGTTAACAGCTTTAATTTGGTTGGCTCCACAGTCAACACTCTTGGCACTAGCAGCCAGAAAATTAAAAGACATATTGCAATGGGAGAGTCTACTGTTAGGGACCTCTCCAAAGTACTGAAGAACAATAGTGTCACCCTGGAGACTAAGGTACACCTGATATAGGCCATGGTCTTTGCAATCACTTGCTATGTGTCAGATAATTTAACAATGACTAGGGATGTTAGGAGAATTGATGCCTTTAAGCTGTGGTGTTGGAGAAGAGTATTGAATATACCATGGACTGCTGAGAAAACAAACAGGTTTGTCCTGGAGAGGGTTAACCAGACTGCTCCTTGGGGGCAAGGATTCTGAAGCTTCGTCTGACATACTTTGGACATGTTGCAAGGAGCGACTAGTCCTTGGAGAAGGACTTTATGCTTGGGAGAGTGGAGGGACAGCGCAGGAGAGGAAGACCCTCTATGAGGTGGATTGATTCAGTGACTGAGATAATGGGGGTAGGTGTGTAGGAGACAGATTGACACAAGATAGAGTAGGGTTTAAGATTGTTGTACATAGGGTCACTGTGAGTCACAAGTGACTTAAGGGCACATAACAACAACAACATAACATATTTTCCATACAATACAAGCACACTAGAAGCTTGTCTTGAAATTCACAGGGAAATGCAAAGCCTTCAGAAAAGATAAGTGCTATAGGACCAGAACCTCTGACTGTGGGTGTCGCATGCCTAACATCAACCAGGACACTCAGGTTTGTGTCAGAAGAGGACTGTGGGTGTCTACCTCAGAGGAGGACTGTTCAGAGGGTGCGTGTCTTCAGAGGAGAGCTGTACAGAGGCTGAGTGTCCACCTCAGAAGCGGGCTGTAGAGAGGAATGTGGGTGTACACCTCAGTGGAGGGCTGTACAGAGGGGTATCGTGTCTTCAGTACCTACTCTATGTCCCAGTACCCCTATATTCACAAGTCAGCCACTCTGCTGTGATCATTTGTACAGGCTTTGGGCTTAACCACTATGCCTGGTGCTGCTGTGGACCCATATAAGCCTCCTGCTGGGTGTCACTCTTAGACGGACAGCTGTCCCTGTAGGCATGGCCCTTATCCTCATTCTCACCTCCATTTGGCGATTTTCTTTTGTCTGTCAGCAGACTGGGTAAGTTATCTGGTATTGCCATGTGCTTAAATGTGTGTACGGGAGGCTGTCAAGGCCACTTGGCCTTGTGACTGACTGCTGAGCACTGCTATGCCCAGAGACAGACCCCTCTGTCGCTGGCATCGTGGGCTTCGTTCATATTCACCTGGGCTGTACTCCTTCTCCACAGCCCAAGTTTCCAGGTGGGAGCAGGCCTCCTGCTTAGGGCCAGCAGAACCCTACACCCCACAGAGGTGCTCAGGTGCCCCTCTCAAGGGTGAGTGAGTCTTGAGTGTTATTGGCTTGTGTGGGGGCGGCAGCCGCTGCTGGGAAGCGGATAAGCAGGTTTTCCCAGTGAGTCACGGACTTCTGGCTCCTGAGGCTAGGAGGTCCTGCAGCCTTGTCCCAGGACTTGGGGGTCCCCAAACTCCAGGGGTGGGCGAGATGGTTCTGGGCAGTAAGGAAGCCAAGACAGGCTCTGAATTATGTGGGACGGGAAGGGGAACTAGATGAGTTCTGGGCTGTGCAGGCAGTGAAGGGGATGAGACAGGCTCTAGGCCGTGCAGGATGATGAAGGGGGCAAGATGGGTTCTAGGCCATGGGGGGTGTGAGATGTGTTCTGGCCTGGGCAGGGCAGTGAGGGGGACGAGACAGGTTGAGGGCCTTGACAAGGTGGTGAGGGAGGAACTGGATGACTCTGGGTGGCTTCAGGATGGTAAGGGGCTCAGACTCCCTGGAAGCTGGAGGCCTGTGAGATGGGTCTGGACCTGCAGGACAGTTGCTCACAGTTGTCTTCTCTCTGCAGCACAGTCCCTTGCTGCCTGAACTAGAGACACCGAATGACCACTGACGCTGTGCATCCATTGGCCCCTCGGTTGTGAGGCAATAGACTGCAATGTCCCAGGCACAGGACTACGAATGTAGGAGCCATAATGCCGACGTACAAGAGTCTAGAGTCTCCGGGTCGAGCACGAGGTAAGACTTGGTGGCCATGCCTGAAGTTCAGAGACACCACTGTCTGAGGGGTCTTGGGATAGAGATGACTTTCAGAGAGCTCACAGGGTGGTCATGCCAGTCCAGGGGAACTCAAATAGGTAATACCTCTCTTGAGGGTGTAGGTGTTCCTCTTAAAGGAGGGGCTGCACAGAAGGGTGCTGGGTGTTATAAAAAGAGTGAAGACTACTGGGGGCAACTGAGTCAGAGCTTCACTAAACTCCACAGAGGGCACTGCCTTCATCAGCATCCACAACCCCAAACCAGCTTCCATCAGGTTAGCCATGCTCCCAGTGCTCCCCCACCTACTTCTATCAATTTCAAAAGCTGTCTTGCTGCTCTCCTGGGTCTGAAATCCATTACAGTAGTTTATGCAGACCTCAAAGAACCATAGTCATGATTAAAGGTTTATTAGAGAAGTTGACAAGTTACAATTGAGCTTGGCAAAAGGATACAAAATTTCTTAGGACAGCTTCTGAAGTTTTAGGTCAATATTACAAAGCTCTCCTAGTCCTGCCAATTAAGGCATCTCCCCTGCTCCCCGAGTCTCCTGTAAGCTTGGGCAAAGGTCCCTGGCTCTGGCTCCTTGGGGCAGCAGTCCCTGTGCAGCTCTGGCATACACTGGCTCACCGGCCCTCCATTGCCACTGCTCTACTGTGGGCCCCAGTCTGAGTGGCATAGGAATCTCCGGCCTCAAAGGATGCATTCCACGTTCTCCACTTCTTTGCTGATAGTGAGATTACCAGATTTTTGCCACTGGAACTACTCAGTTTAAACCTAGTGGAGTGGTGAAAATAACCAACAAACACACCCCATTTGCACATCCCCTCCCAGTAACCTCAGAAAAGACCTGTGCATCATGTATACTCACCTGAGTCCACGCCTGTGGGTCACATGTTCATGTCTGTCAACAATATTCACTCCTGTGGGTGACATGTACATATCTGCCAGTAATGTTCACACCTGTGGGTCACACACATGCCTCCTGGTCACACATAAGCCTGTGTGCCACACACATCTCTTTTTCAGCTTTGAGGATCAGTGTTTCTCACTCAGTTTAGTCTGCATTGGGTGATCGTGTTTTCCAAACACTGTTGTTTTGTTGTTGTTGTTATATTTCTTTTTAAAATAACACAAATAGGAAATGAAGAACACTCTCCCATCTGACTTTTCACTCGTTGCTCACTGTAGGCATGAATGTGTCAATGCCTTTTTGCTATAGCTTACTTGTCTGTGGTGTACCTAGTTGTCCCCTGTCCCACTGCATCTTCCCAGTTGGGTTCAGGAGGCCTGAGCTGGTGCCAGGTGTTCTGGGGCCAACGAGGGAGTCTCTGGGGCTTCAAAAGTTTGCAAGCAAGCCATTCAGAGTGATTAGTCTATTCACCTGGGGCAGTTAAGGCATGAGTCAGATATAGGAGGAGGAAAGTAGGGTTACTGGTCTCCAGAGCCACCTCCCCATCAAGAAATGAGAACTGCGTGGGATCTGGCTTCCATCACTGTTTTCATTCAAGAGTTTATAGACGAGTCCTAATCAGAAGGTGGTGGTCAGATGCAGAGTAGACCCCAGATTTTCCAAGGTCTTTACATTTTAAACCAGAACATGCCCTAGAGTCTTCTTTAAACTAAACAGTTGTTATTAGGTGTCACTGAGTCAATAGAATGAAACCCTGCCCGCTGTTGTACATCTTCATGATCTCCCCTGTGTGTAGGCTCGTCGCTGCAGTCACTGTATCAGTCCATTGCAGTCAGTGGCCTACTTTTCCAAACATCATATTTGGTCTCATTAACACATTGCTGCAAATGATGGTAAATGTGTTTCTAATCACGTTCGTCAATTTAAAAAGTGTGCGGCAATGTGTTAATAAAAGAATGTCCGCCTTGAACATTATAGCCTGTTAAGCTTTATCAGTACCACATTAAACACTGTCTGTATGGGGTCAACAACCACTCTGAAGGTTGGAGGGCAGTGAGTTTATGTCACTAGGGGAAAAACCACTCAAGAGAGAGGTGACGATGATCATCGTAGGACTGAAGAGAATGTCTTGGTGTCCCTGAATTGGACACATAGAAGCCTGTATGTTGCTGTGTCTTCTCAACAGCAACAACAAAAATAATGAAATAAAAGAAGCATTGTCAGGTTCAGCTTGGGTAGTTCCCTCTCCCGTTCATCTTTGCTGACTTAATTTTTTAATATGTAATAAGTTAGGTTCAAAGAGTTAAAATTGTACCAAGTAGTTTGTCCTGAATGTGGTCACTCCTGTATCCATCTACCCTGCCCCTCCCCCACAGGGCAGTCACCCCATCCCCCTCATTTCTGTTTATAAGATGAATGTGTCCAGGCATATTTTGGTGAAACCAGTTCCTTTCTGTGACTTGTTATCTTGATTCCCTTGGTTTAAAGGGAAGAAAACAGCTTTGTGGGAGATTTTTCCTTGGGCCCTGACAGATAGTTATAGTTGCCTTGTCAAGTAAATAGTTGCTTTTGCCCAGGGCTCAAGCCATTCCTTGTCAACAGAAAATGTCAGGTTTTGTGCAGATAGATGGAGACACTCTTTTTAAAAAAAAAAATTCAGTGAACATTTACAGAGATTTTGGATTTCCGTTCATTCATTTTTGCACTTTTCTCCCCGCCCACCCCACCCCCGATGGAGACACTCTTGAGGAGTCTGTCTACTTGGTGCCCTAGTGGTTAAGAAGCTGCACTGCAGTTCCAGAGGCATGCAGTTCAATTCCACCAGCTGCTCCATTGGAGAAAGATGGGTAATCTCCTTTTCTGTAATTAACTGCCTCTGAAAACCCACTGGAGGGTCAGCTGTGGGTCACTTCAGACCTGATGGTATACAGCAACAACAACTATGCAAATAAGAGTGCATAAAACCCCCTGTGGGCTGGGACCACTGGCCCAACATCAGCTATCAGAAGAGCAGCCAGGAGATGGAGCCAGCAGGCCTGGATGCATCGAGCAGCAGCAGGACCAGGAGACCAATCCAAGACTAAGGGTGTGTACTTCGTGGCCAAGAAGCCAGTAAGCTTCCTGAGCCAGGGACAGGAGCTGGCTGGCAGAGCAGGGCTTCTGTGCACTTCTTGGCAGAACTAAGAGAACATTTGCTGGGGTAGGACGAGAGGAGGCCTGTTCTCTGTGTGCAGCCAGTAGGAGGCCTGTCTTGCACAAGGAGCTACCCTTCAGTCCTGGATGTGCTCTTCTCTCTGGGGCTTCCAGGCCTTGCCTGTGCACCTCCCCACATCAACCCAGGCTCCTGCATAAGTAGTCTGTGAGTTTGGAGGCCTCTGCAATAGGTGATGCTGAGGGCGCGGCCGCCAGCAGGGAATGGGTTGGAGAGGGCAGGGACTCTGGATCACCTCATGGACTATCTGTGCATGGAACCTTGTTCTCCCTGGGCTTGAACATGGCCCAATCCCACTTAATTGGCCTTGCCACTGTCCTGTCAGCTTTTCTGCTTGCAAGGACTCCTGGTGACCACAGTCTCCCTGCAGAGGTATCCTCACACTCATGCACATGTCATCTGGCTCTGGCCAGAGTGTTGAGATCCCCGTAGCACTCTGTCATGCTTGCACACTGTAGAGATGGGGGTGCCTCCTTGGGAGTGCTCAGAAGGACCTTTTCCTTTTACTTGGTAGTGAACTCCTGCTGCCCTACAGCAGTCTTGTTTTTCCCACTGAGACCTCGGATACATTAGGGATTTTCCTTGAACGTAGTGTCAGGTGTGGGTGCTTAGTTGTCCTAGCAACTTTTACTGGGAATGCTGCCCTGGGAACCCTGACTGGGCTACTATCTCATCCCTAATTTCTGTTGGTAGGTCAGTGGTCTGTCTGCACAGGTGCCCATCCTTGTACATAGAGTCTTTGCAGTGTTCCTTTGTGATAGGACGGCTCCAGAGCCTCATCCAGCATGTCCTCAGCCCCTGTATGAGTGCATGTGCTTGATGCAGTGACACAGCCTTGCCAACTCCTATCAACAGATACCATCAACAGACGCAGACCCGTGGGCTGTGTTCCCAGCCTGTGACAGGTGGCTCCTCAGAGGACGCACTGTCTGCTGCTTCCTCAGGCGAGCCCTTAGCTGTCAGATACCACCCACTGTTCCCTCATCTCTGGTCTAACCTGGCCTTTTTGGTGTGCTTCTGCTGCTAGTGTGGCCAGTGGCAAGTGATGCTGTGGACACAGGCCATGGCAGGAGTGCACATAATGACCCTCAACCTGTGCCCACATATCTGTTTGCCTTTGGAGATTTTTGATGAGCAAAACTGTTAGTTTTTCATGTAACTATTCTTTGTCATTTCCTTACAATAAGTGTGACCTCTTTTTTGGCTTATTTAAAAAAATCCTTCTATAAACTGAGGTCATGACATCCTAAGTGTATTTTAAAGTTTTGTATTAACATGTGAATCTCAAAATGACCCAGGAGGTGTTGGTGGGGTGTGTTGTAACAGCACCCATCCTAGCCCCCCCATTCCCAGTGGTGGCCTCCTCATCAGTGACTTCTTGGCTGTTTCTGCTCTGCCAAGTGAGAGTCAGTTTGTCCAGGTCACCCCTCCACCGTTCATCTCCCCCTGAGTTCACCCTCTTCTGCTTTGCTCTCACTGAGCTGCCCCTTGGCTTCCCTGGCCTCTGTTCTTTACTGAGCTTCTGTGGGCTTTCCCACCAAGTCTTCATTGCCTTCCCACCTTGTCACCAGCCAGGGAGCCCTGTGGGATCTCAGGCTCAACCCTGTGTTTGCTGTGACTTTATCCTCCCTGTGATTCAGACACTACACAGCAGGGTCCACTTGGACACAGAGTGCTGTCTTGAAAAGACTAGGCAAACAATGAATAAAGACTTACTGGTACTGAAAAAAAAAAGACCAAGCATGGACATGTGGCATTAATTCTCAGGAGCAGGTTGTCTGGCTCACAAAAGAGGCCTGTGCTTCATTTTCGGGTGTTGTGATGCCTCTCACCAGTCCTCCCTTGACTCTTTGCTCC